TTTTTAATAATTTGATTGATTACAGTTTAGTTTGTCTGACAAAAGCAGGGAATCCTGTGTCACAATCTAAATGTATACCTTTAACATTTAACAATTGATATTATGCTTACTTACTTATTACATATTCTATATCTTTTAAAATTTCTGTTTTTTTGGGGTGGAATATGGCCCACAGTTTGTTGTTGTCATGAGCCCTCTCGCATGTTAATCCATCCCTACACTGGAGAAGGTCAGTTTAACATTGACATGGAATGAATGTCTGTGTCCATGGGACAAACAGCAGTTCTGAAAGATGAGACTGATCCCTTCCACCAGTTAGGCTACTGCTGTCACTTGTCCAAGAACAGTGTAGACCAAATTATAATGTGTGTGTAGTTCTGTGGCTCCTGGCACTGCTTATTTAATTAATGCCTTCTCAATTTATCATCTCTGCCTGGCACATCACTGATTGTGATTCCAACATCCACATTATTAGCTTCAACAATAAAGAAAAGCAGAAACACTGTACTGACAACTTGGATAGCTTCATTTTTAAAAGTTCAGTGTTTCTTGGAATGAAAGTGCTTTGTGGTCTTTAAGTGCTTTTATATACTGACAGTGACCTATTTCAGTTATTTCATCTCAATATAGGCCTTTGTCACAATAGTGCTATGGCAGATTTTAGAGCCAGTTGGAACCTCGGGGCTGATAGGAAAACAGATGATGGATACCAAAGTCTGAGGCATGGAGGATAAGAATGACTCATTCATGGTATAAAAATATTGGTGTCTTCGCATTAGTATGACAGTATCCTGTACATCTGTGGTTCTTGGTGAAATAAGTGCTTCTACTTTGGAATTCTGACTCATGAGAAAATATCTTTATATATGATTTTTTTTTTTATTTCATGCCTTTGTTCCTTTCCTCTTCCTCTCCTTTTCTCTCTCTTGGACACGCTTGTCTCTCTCTGACTTTCGCTGTCATCTGACTATGGCTGTTCAGCACATGGTCTCCAAACTGTCACTGTTAATCAGTTATTAATGACAGGAGATAAATAAACTACTATTACAACTTACATGAAAAGTGCCAGTCAGAATTTGACAGGCTTGACTACTTTGATATGTTGGAGGGTCAGCACAGGCTGGTGCATGGCCACCGAGACGCCAAGGGAAAACTGAAGGACTCGAGAAGTCTGTCACGGCTTGGACTATTGCTTCCTGGATTTCTGTTGGTTTTTCCGATTGTCTGTCTCTCCTGTCATTTCTCTACCGGCCTAATCATCTATTATCACCTCCACCTGTTGCTGATTGTCTCCCATATATACGCCCTCTTTCCGTTAGTTCCCTGCTGGTTCGTCACATACATGCTTGTGTTCTTTCTGGCCACACACACAGGCTCCCATGCAATCAAGATATTCCAGAGACTCTGAGTGCTTCTGTGAATGTGTGCTGACTTATCTGTGCCTCCAGTAAGTGGTGTCTCCCGGCTTCTCTGGGTGACACACTCACCTTCGCCTCCACTATCGAGCCCAGTGAACTCCAGTGATTAGTGTTCCCCTGCTTCCCTGTTCAAAGCACTCACCTCCCTCCTGACTGCCAGTTTCCAATTCCCTCTGCCTGGTGGGTCCTGCTTACTGCTCCTCGTGGGTCCAGCTACACCTCTCCTAACTAGCTCTCCTGCACCTAGCAACCTGTCCTTTTTTGTGTGTTAAACTCTTTGTGCTCCTCTCCTGGTGTGTCCGTACATTGGGTCCCTCTCCCTGATCCTGACAAAGTCTGTGGTCCCTTTTTAGAAATGACAGAAAATAAATAGTGTGGGTGGCACAAACCCAAAAGGGGTTATGTTTTATTTAATAAGAAAGTTCAACCCAAAAATGTCCTAAAGGCGGTGACACACTATTTGAAGATGACACAGAACTCTGAAGAAATTTAGTCATGAAGAAGTGAAAGGGCCCAGAGCATTGTGTGGGCACTAAAGCAGAAATCATTGTCTGTTCTCACTGATGGCTGTGAACTCACTTCTTAAATTAAATAAAGCACTGGTGACCCTCCATACAGGTGTGAATATAACCGATCATACTTGCCATCTGATGACAGACATATTACACTAACATGATGCCAGGAACAAAGACAGGATTTCATAATGAATTTATGTTTAAATTCATTTATTCTCATTATGCAGCTGACACACAGTTATACTTGCCCCTGTCCCTTGGAGACTTTGGCCCTGCCCCATCACTAATGCATAAAGGACACAAATAATTTGATGTCCCACAATTTCCTCCAGCTTAATGATGACAAGACAGAAATCCTTGTAGTTGGTGCGAAGCCTCTGCAGCCTTATGTAGTTTTTCACTGAGGCGAAACATTTTAGAGCCATGTTGATAGCAGTAAAAAAAACTGCTTGTGGCTGGCTTACGTTGTCCGACTCTGCCCCCTTAGGTGAAGCCATGGGCTGGTATGGTGCGAGTCTGTCCCTGTGAAGAACCACCCGGTACCACTTACTTAGTCTCACCCTGTACACCGTATCTGACAGCCTTTACACTACAGTTCACTACAGTACTGGCCCTGCTCCACTGCCTCACTGACCGTGGGGACAAGCTCTTCTTTCATACAGGACCGTGTACCCACACCAGCATGCCAGGGACAAAGTTCTTTCCTGGACTGCAAGCAGCCTGTGTCTGGTGAGGCCCTGCATCTGTCTGTGCCCCCACCTGATCTTGCTGCATATGAGCACTGGGTCAGCCCCCTCCAAGATGCTTGGGCACCCCCACCTCTGCTGGCAGGAGAAATTGCCTGCAGGGCTGCTGCTTGTTGTGTGGTGGTGTCTCAGTCCCATCTGTGCAGGTACTTCTTCCTTCCATAGCTCCTCTTGTTCAAGCCCTCACCAGCTCGCCTGGGCTTGGTTCACACTGCCCAGGAAAGCGGTGTAAGCATGGTCAAGCCCCTGGCTGGCCCTGGTGGTATAGACGACCTTCCGGCCAGCTGCTCCATTGTCATGGTTGGGTGCAGCCCTTGCCTAAGAGCCATGATATTCACACCCAGGCAGAGCGTAGCCCCAGGCACATCCTCCACAGCCTCACTCCAATAGCGTGCAGTGTGGCCCAGCTCCCCACAGCGCTAGCACTCCTCTCAGCATCATTCAGCTGCTCTCTTGCTTTCTTGTGGTAGTGGTAGCGTGGCAGCGACCTGGCAGGCTGCCTCCTCCTCACCAGTCTCTGGCTGGCCGCACCACACAGTGGCCATGACCTGGGACATGGACTCCACCTTGGTGCACAGACACCAGTCTCCCACTCCACTATGAGCTCCGGGGCTTCACTCATGGTTCTGGGGTGAGCCAGCTGCATGTGCAGTCTACGCTTGTCAGGAACAAGGGCTAGGACAAACTGTCACCCACTCAACCTGGATGGCAGGTGGCATGGAGGTGCGCTGGCCCAGGCTCTCTACATTGTAAGTCAAAATGTAGAGGGATTCTCTCAGCCGCTGGGTGCAGTGTTTAAACTCACTGCACAGGGAATCTTGCAGGTTGAGCTTGTCAAAGCATCTCTGAAGTGCACTAACCAGGGCTCTGTAGATGCTGCTTGTCCAAGCTCAGCAACAACAGACAAGACTGGGCATCCTCTGTCAGTGACAAAGCTAGCTGCAGCGCCTTCACTTCCTCCAACCAGTGGGCAACAGCAGCCACCAGTTTGACATGGGTGAGATATGCCTCCCAGCTGCCCTTGCCAGAAAACTACGGTGTCTTCATCCCGGGTGGCGGGATGCCACACTGCAGAGTGGCGTCCTCCACATTGCCTTCTGTTTGGGTCATCATGGAGGTGGGTGTTGGTCCCGTTGCCTCTAGCTCGGACTGACCTGCTTGTAGTTATGGAATGGCCAGCTGGTTGGCTGGTGCTGGCTCTGGGTCCCCACAAAGCCAGAGTGGTGATGACTGGGCTTGGTTCCTCCGGTTTGCCTGGCGAGGAATACTAGCTCCATCAGCGGTCTCATTTTGGCAGGCTCCTGCTGAGAGTGGGGTAGCAGACAATTCCCTGGCAGCTGAGGGGCCTTCTGCTTCAGGTCATACTGCCTCTCGCTTCCATTGGCTCCTGTGGCTCTTCCACATCCCACTTCTGACACCAGTGTAATGTAGGCTAGCTTTAGGAAGGAGCCGGAGACAGAAGCTGCCTTTTCTCTTTTATTTCCACACACAGTGCAGGGCATCTGCACCTCAGACAGACTGAACACTGAACAATCCTGGCCAACCCTACATACATTCTGTCAGGTGCTCTCCCCCCCAAGGCATTGTGGGGGAACCCTGCTGAGTGTCTCTCCACCCAAAACACTATAATACTATACCACTAACAATAACTATTTAGAGAGGCAGTATAAGAATGCACTGTAAATATGCTTTGCTGATTCAAATTCTAAACAAAATTGGGGTTGATTCAGTGAAAGTCTATAATTTTAAGTTCCCAAATTTCTGTTAACTTAAACTTCTCCTCAGGTCCCTGATAAAATGCTGGATATAGTGGTGGCTGTGGCCCTGAGCCCGGTTTTGCTGAACTGTCTCTACCCCTAATAGTGCACCATGCCACTCTATAAGAAGAGGACAAAAATACTTCTGCACCAATAGGATTAAAGTGATAAGATATCCCTATAGTAGGTTTAATAGGGACTCCCAAACAAAATTCTACCAAAATAATAACTTGCATTACGAACTTAATAATTTCACAAACAACAGTAACATTTTTTTGTTATAAAAAAACCTGTTGCATACATCTGCTCTGAGAGAGACATTTCCACAGTTCAGGATTTACACATCCCTGGAACCTCATCTGCTCAAAGCTTGAAGCCACTTAAGCCCATCATATTGCCTCGGGCGCACGGAGGCGCTAGATCACTTTGGGTATCGATCCTGCCCCTGCATTGATTTGTACAATTTGAAACCAGACATTCAACTCACTCAACCCCCTCCCCCCCGTCTTCGCCTTACAGTAGCTATATCTGCACGTCGCTCAGCCAGTCAGTCAGTCTGTCAGTCAGTGGCACTGGTCCGCTGCGCCTGCGTCCGCCGCCTCCACAGCTCTCCAAAGCTGAGACGCGCCACCACCGCCGTCACTGTGGGCATGCTATACTTGCAGCAGTAGTAGGCTTCCGTCAGCCTGCTTTTAAGCAGATCACAAAAGGAAAGGAAGAGAAATAAGAGTAGAAGAGAGTGAAGTGACTCATTTCAACCTCTGCCGTGCGTCGAGAAGCGTAGATGAGTCAATGGCCGGGGCACAGCCTGGAGTTCATGCGCTGCAGCTCAAGCCAGTGTCCGTGCCCGAGAGCCTAAGAAAGGGCAACAAATTTATGAAATGGGATGATGTAAGTAATGTCGAGAGAGACCGGCAGTGAATGTTTTCACCGTCGGATCATTTCTGCACGTTTTATTTGCATGCACATAGCACTAGGATATATTAGAAAATCTCGAGACGACTCATGCAACAGTAGTCGACTGATTTAATTGTCAGTGGAGATCGCACTGACACAGGCTGTGTGCCTGTGGCATGCTGATTAATTATATAATGAAATGCGGCAGCTACAGTGTCTAGTGACATGTACTTTGTTTACGTTTGCCAATGTTTAGTAGGCCTATGTGTTGTGTGCGCGCGCGTGTGACTGTGTGAGAATGCGTGCGCCGCTCATTAAATCAAATTAAACATTTGAACTGTGCTCGCCCCTCCCATTTCACTGGACGTTTTATCAATGGACTACAATTAATTAGTGTATAGGGGCTCAACACTGGGATCGCAGTGTAACCACCAGGCAAGACTTAAATGTATTTTTTTTTTAAAATTATTTCTACTGGCAGTGTAGCAATAGTGAAATGATCCTGATTAAAATTGATTGCACACTGCTGTCTAGTCCTCCACATAACGGTAGTAACCTTTAGACAGCTATGGCTGCACTGCACCTTCTATAAACAACAAATCAACACATCCCTTCAATAATCTCATAGAGAATTAACATATAAAGGTTGCACTAAATGGAGTGGCCTTAATGAATTTAATTATTGTCCTCAACTTAAATGCTATCAGTATAATAGCTCTTTATTTTTTTGAAAGGGACTTTCTGTGATATCCATTTCACATCTTTCCACAGTTCTTCTAATTTGAATAACTGCTTGCATGCCCCTGGTTTCTCCAACCTTGATACATGTTTATCGTGTGAGCATTTGAATATGAGCACAGCCATGATTACGTTCCTTCTGGGTTGCTCTTTTTTCTTGTTGAAAGTACAGAGATGTGCCCACCTGTAACTGCTAGGTGAACGACTGTATTCTGTTTTTGTCTTGTGTGAAAGGAGAGTCATTTGTTTAAGAAAGGTCACATAGCTTGTAAATCATCCGTACCAGTCATCATCAGGCGTTGATGATAAACTGTGCTGTTAAGTGACATTTTGAAATCAGATTTTATGACTTCATCCTAACAAATACATGAGTGAAATGTTCATATTAACTGAGCTCAGGTGATTCAAGCACAGCACAGATGGCAAAGAGGAAATGATGCAAACCTGCTGTACACTCTGTCAATGATCAATCTTAAGTTTAAACAACAGAATATTTCTTTAAGTTTTAATTCCCAGTGAGTGCTCATCCCTTTAACTTTCTGGTTGTGAGAAAGGGGTGTGTGTCTTTTTTCCCTATCAGCTTTGTTTGCGCACTGCAGGTTGTACACGAAGGCCATATCTGCCCATCCAAATGCCCACCAGGCCTTTCCTGCAAAAACATGCACCCTCTGACACAGACGTACACACTGGTACTTTCTCTGTTTCATTTCTCATGTACTCCTTCCTTCCTATTTCCTCTCTGTGTCATTGCATGGAAAGAATCACAGAGTACAGATACAGATTGAGAGAGAGAAAGCTAGAATAAATTGTCAGTGCAATTACATCATTTTCTTCTTATCACGGCTCCACTATAACTTCTCTCAACAAGAACTTATAGATGGAGGCAATTCCAGTATTGTATGAGCTTTAATTTCTTCATTTATTTCAGTGCAGATTTTTTTTATTTTTGTGGAAATGACACATTTTGTCACACTGCTGAATATTCAGGGCAAAAAATGGTGTAAAGTCGTGCTTGTACTGTACTGCATGAACACCAGCTGTTAGTTCTGAGGAGCAGAGTGCCTGAGGTCATGATGAAAAGAACCACAGACATCAGCACAAGGTTTCCTGGTGGTTGAAAAAAGAATAAATGAGCAAGTAGAAAATGTCTTGAAATGTTTGTGAATGCTTCCGAGTCCCAGACTTCCCTAACCTCCCTCACACAGACATGCACATACACACCTTATTTTGTTGCTGCCACTTGCAGACAACTGGCTTCTGCTGTAGCTCATGCAATGTGTGGTTATGTTTTAAAACACTGCCTCTATGATGTTATTATTTGTCAGTCAGGCCAAGTGGAACGTTCAGCAACTATTGATTTGATTTGATTTGATTTATTCTTTCAAGCACTTAAAGACAGTTGATATGACAACACACATAATTTTACACATAATCCAATATCAAATTGCTTATACCTAGTACATGCTTGAATGGAGTAGGAAGAAGTCAGACTTATCTAGTCCTACCCCATGACATCATCTTACATCATTGGTTTGCAAGCAGTAAATGATTCACTTCTACCACACAAGTATTATACTAAAAAAATTATACAGTGTTAACATTCTTACATAATTACATTCTTTCTACACCACATAAGTAATATACTAAAAAATTATTACAAAGTGTTAACATTCATACACCACACCCACAATGTTCCATCTGGTTAATCATTAAGCCTGTTCTTGCATATATCTTGATTGACACATACCTTTATATTTATGTTTAAACTC